AAACGGTTCGTTTAAGTATTATACGCGATGTACGTTTTTTTGGGGAGGTGGTTAATGAAAGTGTTCCAAAATGTGAGATTAATTTCTTGACGACCTAATATCTTAAACGTGGATTTGGTTTTGAATTTATTATTTTTTATTCTACGTTTTATTGGAACTTTTTTAATAACTATCTCTGAATCTGAATTTCGTATGAACTTATAAAGAGTTCGAAACAAAATGATCTAAGTCTGCGAGCCAAGGTTCAAATTATGAATACGGTGATTTAATATAACTTACATATAACTGAGGGAAATGGTATCGTTACTTTTGCACTCATAAGAAATTGATGACAGAACCAGTGTTTCTCAAATTTTATTACCCCCCAGTGGCTCAGCGGTAAGTTAGGGGGCTTATAACGCTAAAATCGGGTTTCGATACGTTTGTTGTACACAACACAGATAGACCTTTGTGTAGCTTTGTGTTCAACAAAAAACAAACTCAGCTTTTATCTAATTTTATATAGAGTACTTAAATATTACAACCCAAGATTCTTAATAGCCCAGAAGTTCTAAGAACACCGGTTTGTTTACGATTAAAATAAAAGAAATGCTGCCGTTTCTGTTCCCATCTTGTTAACAATGCCGCAATTTTTATTGTTAACATACAGTCGTAATGCCCATTCTTCTAGGAAATGAAGCTATTAATAGTAAAGCAATTTCCAGTATGCTACCTTAACGATGAAGAAACAAAGCAACTGTGTTTTTCAAGGTTTCCGGTTGCTTAATCTCATCTTCAGTCTTTCCACACGATGTACACTAAAACTACTCATGAATACGTGGCTGTGTTGTGTGGCCTGTAGTGATTTCAGAGACAAGAGATTAATCGTCTTTACACTAGTGCCGAGTTCCTGATGGAGCCGCCGATAAAACTACCCTCGCATTCTTGAAATTAAGAAAATATTTTGCCCCCCACAAAGTTTAACTGTTACAAAATAACTGCAAGATTTCTTTCATTTATTTTCTGAAGCTGTTTCCCTTTCCAGTTTACTAAAAAAAAATAATTATATAGTTTGTACATTTGAAAATTGTGCTTACAGTAAAACACACCTGTTCTGTTTTGTCAACATGCCAAATTCAAAGGAACTGTGTTAAGAGTTAAATAAAACTTCATACATAGGAAAAAAACATATACGTTTACTATTTTTCTTACATTATCGAATTTTGATATTTTTTATTTTACGAACTGTCTAAAGTTCTTAACATATTATTTTCAAGCACTTTGTAGGCTCAACTATATGTACGTTGTTTTAGCGTAAACTACATAATGGGCTGTCTGCGTTCTGTCCACCTCGGGGAATCTAACCCTGGATTTTAGCTTATGGGTCTGTAAACTTAAGCTGACCTATTGAGGGATTAACTATATGTGTATGCATATGTGGGTAAGTGAATTCTTCGTAGTGATTATATCTTGAGATAGTTGTAAACAAGTGAATTTCTTGTGTTTGAAAAAAAAGTCACTGTGTGAGAGCCATCTTCTTCTATTTAAGTCTATTTCCATCTTCTCAGAACATTTTCATTTCCGAAAATAGTATATAAATATTTCACAGAAACTAATCATCATTATTTGTTGAACTTTTTACTATTGCACAGATTCTTATATCGATTTTTTGATCTACCATTTTTCATAATTAGTATTTTATAGATTAAGCGGTATTTTTCAAAATGTGAATGTCTAAAACATCACAATTTTTTTATCTTAGTCTAAGTTACTCAAGAAAAAAAAGGAATAACTCTTTATATTCTTGTTACCAGGTGGCATACACTTATAATCACGTGATGCACTCTCTGATAGGAAAGTGTCTAAATGTTTCATCAAGAGAATTTAACGCTTTTCACCACCACTAAATCAAGTAACTCACTAATCAGTCATTGTGACTTCAGCATAACAGCATATATGTTAAGAAATCTTATTTGAAATTGGATTAAACGAAGATCTTTGTTTTTTGTTGTTGTATTTTGCATGTACCAAAATCACAATTGATAACTAAACCGCCGTAACATTTAATACGTTTTATCCAGGGATTTACTGAATGCTCAACACTCGTAGTAGGCTTCAGTAAATAGATCAGTTTTAATTTTTGATAACTCAAAATTATGTGTTCTAAATCAATTGTGTGCTACCCAAGGATTGCTTTAAAAAACACAAATGCTGTTTAGAAATTAATAAGTAAAGAATATGATATTGTTTACCTAGAGATACAATACCCTATAACCCGAGCGCCTTCGAAAGATGGACCTTTCTTCTTCAGAAGCAAACCATTTGCCCATGAAGAAGAAAGGTCCACCTTTCGAAAGTGCTCAGGGTGTAGGGTGTCGTATTTTTGTGTTAAATTGATTTCTTGAACCTATGTGCTTTTCTAGCATCACGAAGCTTTGTTTATCTTATAGAGCAGACTTCATATAAGAGTAGATTACACTTGGCCACAGTTTCAAATTAACGAATAGGTCTCGCTTTCACTGTCTGTAATACCTTATTTAAGTTGTTAAGTATTACCTCTTCTTAACACTATGGTATGCTAAATTTAAATGTATATATATATTTAAAAGAAAATTGAAAACACGTGACTTGGAACATACAACCAATTTAATTTCTGAAATAATTTAAATACTGAAAAATGGACCAATAAAGACTTACATTAATCGCATTGTTATCCAACTGAAATAATTTAAATACTGAAAAATGGACCAATAAAGACTTACATTAATCGCATTGTTATCCAACTGAAATAATTTAAATACTGAAAAATGGACCAATAAGGACTTACATTAATCGCATTGTTATCCAACTGAGATAATTTAAATACTGAAAAATGGACCAATAAAGACTTACATTAATCGCATTGTTATCCAACTGAGATAATTTAAATACTGAAAAATGGACCAATAAAGACTTACATTAATCGCATTGTTATCCAACTGAGATAATTTAAATACTGAAAAATGGACCAATGAAGACTTACATTAATCGCATTGTTATCCAACTGAGATAATTTAAATACTGAAAAATGGACCAATAAAGACTTACATTAATCGTATTGTTATTCAACTGAGATAATTTAAATACTGAAAAATGGACCAATAAAGACTTACATTAATCGCATTGTTATCCAACTGAAATAATTATCTTCACTATCACGTATGGATATTGTTGTTAACTTTTTTAATTTAGGCTATAATACTATAATTTTAGTTTAAAACTCGTGTAAAAGCTTAGCACTACACTAAGTAAGGCGTTTTCAAGTTCTTATTAAGTAAAATACATCACGGTTTGGGTGCAGGTTAGCTAGCTTTGAATTAATTTACAATTTCAGTGTTAAAACTTTGTAACTCAAGTTCTTTACACCTTTCTTTTATTAGCGATATCTAAAGTCGTTTCTAAAAACATAGTTGAGTTATAAAAGAGGTTAAACCTAACAATTATTGGGTTGGATCTAGACAGTCTTACAGATAACAACTCGTTATATTTTAATATGTTTGTTGTGTTTCAACATAGTAATAGCTTTAAACGCTAGTTAATCAAGTTCAAGACTTTGTAAATGTGTTGCATATTACTTTTTAAGGTCGAAGAATAACAATATATAAAACATATATATAGCATTGTGAGACTACAGAATATGACTGCTTGTACAAACCACAAAGTAGAAGCCGTTACACTTACATTCGTGAAATGGTTATGTGCTGAGTGATAGTCGTGTATTTTAAATAATCCACAGAAATAACAGACGACTATTTGTTGTACGACTTGTATATGCATACACTGAGGACCTAACCATTTCGTTACTGTAAACATGGCGGTATTGACAGCTCATACTAAACAATACTTAGGGCTATACTTGTTGGAAGCCAACTGGCTTAGAAAGTATCTTGTGAAATGTCACAATTGTGTGAATCTGACATTGTCTTTTACAAAACAAAAATATATTCCATCATTAGCCAGCTATACAAGAAAGAATAGAGAGAAGCGCGCTTAGCGACCAAAATTGAAGTTAAAATGTATGTAAAAACACAACTCTACTGTGACGGACATCTATTAATAAGTTGACAGACAACGCCACTTCTAATTTTCACTCGGAATCATTCGGTATACCTCGAGTGACTTAACTTCGCTAAATCAGACTCAGGTTAACCTGAAAGAAATATAAATAAAATACACCTTCTTATCAAGATTAAGATTGCTCTGTTCCAATTCCTGTCAGTAGAGGCCTTGCCTGTAACAGCAGTCTACTGTGTTAAAGGAGAACTGAAGACGTCCGATTGAAAAGGAGCATTTATGTTGGTTGTTAATTTAGTAATTACCTGAAAAGACAAGCCTCGAGAAACCGAAACTATACATGCGCGTATATATATACAGTACAAGCGATACAATGCAGATGGACACTTCGGCGACCACTGTTTGTATGGTATCAGAAGGGTTGTCTTCTCTCTCGCTGATTCCAGAATACTGAGAGAGCAATCCGAACCATGCTGTTCGTGGAATGACTCCTTTAACTAACATTCCCTAGTTTTGGAGGGACGGGTGTGTACTTTCTTTTCTAATTACAGTGGTGTTCTTCCCTTACATAACTACACTGTTCACATACTACTTTACAACACCACTTGAATTTACAGTTACATTTCTCTTCCACGCGACGTAAAGCAGTTTGATAACCTCGTCCACAGCACAAGAGTCTGCAACCGTCCATGCCATAGCTCGTGTGGTTGCACAGTCGGCCCGCCGTTCCAAACACTCCTAATCTGTCAGAATGAAACACAATGAAATGATTATTAAATTACACATAACAACTAGAATATGCTTCAATTCAGTCCCATGATCCAACACAATAAATAAAACGAATCTTTTCAAGATTCGAATGAGATAAAATCTTTTGTTATCAAAGAAACTAACTAACAACAAAAATACAGCACGCAGGTAATAAATTCAAACAGCTTATTCCTCAATCATTCATCAGCGGGAAATAATTAAAGTGCATATTAGTGTATAAACTACCTATCCGGAATTCTTTCAGCACCACAGAAAATTAAAGATGCTAAATACAAACATAGCAACATTGATTTCTTATGATCAGATGATAATACCTTTTTATCAAGCATGTCACATCTGCTAAATGTATAGTTCTAATGAGTTTATGCTGTAACGTGATATCTCTATCATAACAGACTTATCATTATTTTTCATCGCTAGAAAAAACTACAATAATAAAGAGTCTGTCTGTCTGTGTGTGACCATCTTAGTTCCAAGAGGAAAGAACCTAGAGACCTGAAACTTTACACGCATACTAAGGGGATTCTGAGGGTACGCACGTGGATATTATTTTTTAGATTTTGGCCTTTTTTTTTTGCCCTATAGTTTTGCCTTATAGCCCTTAAGCCCCGTAATTCTGCTTTCTGAAGGTCTATAGAAAAGTATAATATTTTTTCTAATTCTCATTTACTGAATGAGCAGTATGTGGAGGTTTTCTGCCAAATACTGATGAAAAGAATAAAATGCCAAAAAAAAATTGCCAAATTTGGGAAAATTTGACATATTTTAACAAAAATAAAAAATATTCTATAGGGTATGGGGTCAAACGTCTCTTAGTCAGCCAAAGGCAATAGAGAGGGAAACAAAGGCATGATGACCTCCAAGGATCCTTGGTACAAACCATCAGAATACTAGAAAAGGTTTAAATAAGTAAAGTTCGGGAAATGACATCAAACAAAACAATTAAATAATTTTGGTGTATGAAAAGACAATAGAAATGAAATTTTTTGGCTGTATCTCATATCTAAAATTGGTTCAAAATACACACACACAGTCGACCAGTAAAATACCAATCTAATAACCCGAGAGAAATCGGGTAATTTGGCTAGAGTAATGAATATGTTAAGTAAGCATGGCGTAAAGAAATAACAGCACGTAATTAATAGTGTTTGTTTTGAATTTCGCGCAAAGCTACACGAGGGCTATCTGCGCTAGCCGTCCCTAATTTAGCAGTGTAAGACTAGAGGGAAGGCAGCTGATCATCACCACCCACCGCCAACTCTTGAGCTACTCTTTTATACGATGGAAAAGTGGGATTGGCCGTCACATTATAACGCCCCCACAGCTGAAATGACAAGCATGTTTAGTGTAACGGGGATTCAAACCCGCGACCACATTGCGAGTCGAACGCCCTAGCCATCTGGCCATGCCGGGCCAAGTGATAATGAATTTCTTTGTAAATGTAATTATTACTACTGCTATTTTATAGGTTCTTTCATTTTGTTGCTGTTGTCGATTAATTCAGCATTTCATAGGTAAGATCTGAAGTTTTCTATGATAAATCTTTTAAATTTGATAAAGTATAATTTTTGTTTTTTGCTGACTGTTCACTAGATTAACGCTCTACAAAATATTCTTGTGTGAGTTGCGATCGTCAGTGAGGGTGATACATGTACATATGAAAATAACTCTAGTTCCAATGAAATAATATTTTTTTTTAAATTATAAAATCATTTTGACAATAACATAAAGAAACGTATTCAGTAAGCGAGCTACTCTTGGTTCCTTCCACTTTCATCTATGCCTGTGTTGGTTACGTTTAACTTTATATCTTTAAAGAATGGTTCATTCTTGAGTATAATGACGTTTATCCAAGACTGAATAATGATTTATTTTATATGAACTAAAGAATACTACATACTACTGCAACAAACATGGGTTCCTTTCAAACAATGACTGCCTACATGTGTTTTCAAAGCTGTGGTGTAAGTTTATCTTAAGAAACCAAATCTGTTATAGCCGTTACGAAAGGAAAAATCTCAAGGCTAAACTTAACTAGCCCAAATAAACCTTGACGACAAACTTTTAACTTTCAAAGAAGTAACGTTGATTCTATTTACACCGCATGAATAAAACTCAGTTCCGTTTTGTTCCTGTTACAATAATCAGGAGATTCGTCAAGATAAACTTAATCTTTCTAGACAATTTACATTTCGTTCTTATTAGAACTTCTGATTATTCTTGACGAATCTCCTGATTATTGTAACAGGAACGAAACGTAAGTCGTTTAAAGAGATTTAGTTTATTTTGACGGGTAAACTAAATCTTTCTTGCCGGGACGTTTAATGTTTTTTCCGAGAGGTCTTAGTCGGAGCTTCTTACGCCTCTGTACCGCCCTAACGCGAGTCGCACCATCAAACCTCTTAGTTAGCCACTGACCAACGGACCTGAAAGGTTTCAAATACATCCAGCAAACTCTCATGGAGCAGGAACCGGACACGCCATGGCACTTGCACAAACGTTCTTTGTTTCTTTTTAGGGCCTGAAAATGAGAAAAGAGACTATATTTTTAGAGATTCATAAAACCTTTTGACTTAAATAAGATTTCTTAACGTTTATTTTAGACCCCAATTCTTCATTTTCTGTTTCCATTTAATGTATACAACTTTCATTAGAATAATCAAAACAATTAGAATTCCTTTTAATTAATATTTAGAATATACTTACAAAATAAACTTAAACTAAAATCAACCTGAAAAGGTAGTTAGGAAAGAGAGATATTAGAATAAATGTAATGGTTATGTTGTAAATGGCTGATGTTTCATGGTGCAACATCTTAAATTTAAGTTGAACCGTTCATTTGCTATTTGCAAAAAACAGCGTATCAAAATAACATGTTCTACTATAAAGTAAACTGAATGCGCGTTTATGTTTTTAAAACATATTAGACCACCCGTGACCCGTTGAGTCACCCACTATACAGAGGTTATGAAGAATTCAAGCTAATTTAAATATTGCACCGAATTGAAGGTTTATTTTGAGATAATTTAATTAAATATTTCAATCCATTCGTGTTATTCATCATTCCAAAAAATATATTTGATTGTTAATCGGGAGTAAAAGGAAATATCATTTCATTTTTCAAAAAAGTAAAGTCAGAGTTTTCAGGTATTGTGATGAACAAACCTTATTCACAGTTGATTCAAAACGCCTGAAAATAAGAAATAACAGATAATAGTAATGTTATTCATGGTTTATTAGAACGTGATTGCTATCAAAAAACCAAAAAAGCTATTTCAGAAAAACATTTCATACTTACTTGCTCAAATTACTGCAAGAAACAGCAAAACTTGATAACTGATACACTACGAAATTCACCAAATGAAAAATCCTTCTCGCTGTCTCACAATGAATGATGTTTTAACTGAGAAAATTTTCTCATTTCTTTACCTACCATAACCAAGGCACATTATTGAGAAATTATTCAAGGGAAATAGATTTGAACGAAAAAGTTTCGTAAAGAGCGCGAACGGTAGTGTGGTGTAAAATTACTCATGCTAGAAATTTTCATAAAAGTGACCCGAAAAACTGCGCTAACTCGGTAATCCGTGGCCCGATTTTCATGAAACTTGTTTTATTCTGTTTCTATTCTCATTTCAGAAATACAATATGTAACACGTATGGCGCTATTGTGTGCCGTTTTTGCTGTATTTAATTACAAACAAGCAAACAAACAAACTTCTCAGAGTTTTAGTAGTATATAGATAGATTAAATCACCTGATAATTTATTTCACTTCTATTATTTTTCCAAAATTCGAAATATTATATTTTCCGTACATGGCCTAAACGATCATTCTGGAATACCTAGAGTATAGTTGTCCCTAATTCTGGACTAGTGACTAGAGGAAAGGCAGCCAGTGAGCAGTACATGATGCCACAATGACTTTGTTCATCTTTGAGCAGAATAATTGGATTGTCCTTTATTCATGTAAAGCATCTACAACTGAAAATTTAGAATGTGCTTTCACTCTTATAACACACTAATAACTTAATGTATGGGGTATGTTTATCGATATGTAACTTGGCATTTCAACCAACTTGTCATGCCCCACCTTGCCAAGGTTAGATCCATAGCAAAAATGAATAAACATTAAATCATGAGTTAGGCTATAATGATTCCTTTTTTTTATTTTTTGTTATGGATGGAGATAATGTGTAAAAAAAAATGTTGCACATGTAACTCATTCAGAGCAGCTTCATTTTAATACCAGAAAGTAAAGTCTAAGTTACAGTTTGAAAGTTACGTTGTATTATATTCCATGCTTAATCGAAGGTTATAAGATTGGGTTAATTTAAAAGAATATGGCTATGTATAAACAATTTATCGCTCCCCTTATATTAAAATATTTCCAAGAGTTCGTCCGCTTTCTTACAAATGATTAAGAGTAAATTTGACAATAGGAGCATTGTTTAAAAATAGTTCAAATTAAAAAATTGCTATCTCTAAGTTTTAATGCAATGAATAAACATTTTAAATGAAAATTCTTAACTTTTTATAAATTATGGGTTACTTCGTTACCACTCTTCTTTATAAGGTTTTAAGGTATAACGATCTCGACACAGTTCTGTAATTGAATTAGACGAATTATAGTTAGTTTCACAACACAATGACAAGTTTTGTCACTCCTGATTACACAAGTTTTACACTTTTTCACACCATGCACAAAACTATATTACCCCCCATGGCACGTGAGAAGTACAACTTGGTAAGTAACATAAAGTTCCGTTTTACAACTCTTCTCAGAATTCTTTCAACAATCTTTTAGAAGTTGTTTAAATATTCTTTCACAAACACGTTTCTTATTTTTTGCTCAGTTATCAATGTTTAAAAACTCCTCACTGGAACGTGGCGAGGTTTCAACTGTTCCATCACCACTTCAATTTAGTGCTGATTTGATTAAAATATTTGTAAAATTCTAGCTTTGACCGCTGTGCCTGTTTGGTTGTCATTGACTCATCTGTCATTATTATGGAAAAAGATGTCTAGCCAGAACCAAATCGACTGACTTTGAAAAAAAAGAAAAGAGAAGGCTGAGTACATTCATGAAAATGTTTCGTGTGTATAAATGATAATATCATAAGAAAATCTTTCGCTTATGGTTCTGTGTATAAATTAAAATGATTTAAAACTTTGAATCACGGACACATTTTCAAAGTGTTACTTGTTAGAGTGTTTCTTCTGATTTATAGCCTTTCCTTTTCAATTCATATTACATGTTTCAAGAATTTTCAGTATGATTAATTAGAAACTTAATTATCTGAAATGACAGACATTATTTGTTCATCATGAGCGTTAGCTACTTTTATTTCTATGAAAAACCTGTCAATCTCTAAAAATTAACATTGAAATGAAATAATTGTAGATATACATATATAATACAGCTACTACAAAAATCTCACGGGAGTCAAATCAATTCACCTACTGAAGTAATTAAACAATTATGAATTTACTCAGCGACCCCCCATTCTCCACTACTTGAGGCTTACCTATGTGACGGACATTAATTAGCTCCCCAAAACACTTAGAACTCCGAGGGGTGATTTCTAAACATATCCATCAAAGATAGATAGATAGATGAGAGTACGCTAAGCAAGTCAGGTTGCCAGATTACTAAATAGAAAAATAATGCCCCCCAGTGGCACAGCGGTATGTCTGCGGACTTACAACGCTAGAAACCGGGTTTCGATACCCGTGGTGGGCGGAGTACAGATAGCCCATTGTGTAGCTTTGTGCATAACTACAAACAAGCAAACAAATCCATCCTTGTAAGAACACAATGAAAATATAAATGCTCTTTTACACTTTTTTTTTGTAACTAACTTTTATTTCATAAAAGAGTTTCGTGGCTTATAGCACTAAGCCCACTTAATTAATTGATTAAAATATCACATACTTATGCGTCATTATGAACTTCAGAATTTTTTTTTTACTTATGTGTATCTATATTTGTTTAAAACGAACTCGGAATATGTATTGCGTTCGTACTCCATATTGTTCATGCACGAGCTGATATCTTTAAGGTGCACAGAACTCAATACGATTTTGTTGTATAACTTATCCTCAGCAGTTTATACGTATTTAAATATTACGCAGGTTTCCTTAAAAGTCGCTGCTTCTTGAAGAGCCTTGAAATTGCAAATCATAATTCATATTGTCTATTACACAACCTATGTGTTTCAATCACAAAAGGCCTCGTATGGCCTGGTGATTAGGGCACTCGACTCGCAATATTGGGGTCACGGGTTTGAATTCCGTCATCAAGCATTCTCACCCTTTCAGCCGTGGTGGTGTTATAATGTGAAGGTTGATTCCACTATTCCTCGGTAAAAGAGTAGCCAAAGAGTTGACGGTGGGTGGTGTTGACTAGCTGCCTTCCCTCTAATCTATAACTTCAAAATTATAGATGGTTAGCGCAGATAACTCTCGAGTAACTTTTTGTGAAAATCAACAAACAAATCAATCACAAATTTCTGGTTTCTGTATATCAGTTTTGTTTTTCACTGAACTGAAAATAACGGTTAGGTCTTCAGAATAGATGCCTATCTTGTTTTCACTGACTTTGACACTAGCATCAGTTTAAAAGGCCATGTTTTTACGTATGTAATTCTCTGAAGAGACCTCACGACCTCCTATTACTTACACAACACAATGTTAAAACGTGGATAGGAGTCTGAAGAAAAAAGTCGGGGGGGGGGGAACTGGAAGTGAATCAAGCCTGCAGGGATTGCATCAGGAGCTTTCTCACCAGGAAAATTTCTATAGTTAGAGTGACAGTTAAAGTATGACGGAAATCAAAGAGAAAAACACAGGAGAAATGAATGTGGAAATATGCAATATAACAACAGACTTACATGACCTTCTATTTGTAGCCTTAATCATTTGTTAGTTGTTTAGCACACAGCTTCACGATGTGGGCTATATGCATTGTGTGCACCGCGGAAAATCGTTATAAACAATCGCTGAGCTACCGAGAACTCTTTTTTACTTTAATCTTTTCGACTCTTTATCTCCAGCTATCAAATTTATTTGTGATATTTATCTGTTTAGAGTGAATCATTAGTTTGGGCTCAAAACACAAAACAAAAAAATGACTCTAACGTATCGTAATTTGGGGGACGTGATAAGAGTGTTGCCCCCTTTCGACGTTTATATTGTCAATATTTAAATATTTCGATCTCCTGATATCTCTTATGCACTAGAAAATTGAAAACATTTTTCGAAAGTTTGAATGTTATATCTTTGTATCTTAATCATATGTTGTGGATAGGAACATTAATCCAGCTAGCAAGGTATATAATATTTATACCTATATTTTTCACTGTATTATGGGTAACTGGTTTCCGAATTGGTTTCCGAATGTAAGTTTGATGTATATAGATTTATACCTAACACGTACCACTACGACATACTAAGGCTTTTTCACTCTTTGATTTGTTTGTATGCAATTGATTCATTTGATGGAAAACAAATACAGCTCCATTTTTCTTTTTTTCTTTTTCTTTTAAATGAAATATTTCATAATTTCCTAACACTATTCATTCTATTTTTATATTAGTAATTATACTAAAGACTGTTTCATTTGTTATTAGCGAATTACATAGATTTGTGATTCCGAAACGTTCATTACAGATGTTTACCATGATTGGTGGCTCTAATATTCATTATCATACTTTGATTTGTTTGTTTGTTGAATTTCGCGCAAAGCTACACGACAACTACCTGGATTAGTCGTCCCTTATTATGAAGTGTTAGACTAGGAATAACGTAGCCAGTCAACATCACCCACCGTCAATTATTTGGCTACTCTTCTCAGATCGAAAAGTGAGATTTTACCGTCATTCTTATAACACATACACGACCTCAAAGTGCAGAGAGCGATGATATTTTTTGTCGGTAATGGACCCTCGGAGCCATTGTCTGTTCACTTACCATTGAGCTGAGCTAGGCCTTTTGACTTTTAGAAAACGATCATCTTTGAATCAATACAAATTTATAATTTGATATTTTCCGATTATTTAATGATTTGTAAATGTTCCTATAAAAAAAATGGTCTAGGCTTAGCTTGTTATTAAAGTTAGCAATATTCAGCTTATGTATATGATTTTGAACCCATAATTGTTTGATTTATTTCCACTAATGTTCTTTTAGATTTACAGTGAAAGAGTATAGTGATCACTTTTCTGTTTTAAAAATTTATGTAGAGCATTTTAGTTTCGTATTTGATATCATTTTAATTTGCTTTTCACAGTTACAACATCACCCATCACACGAAGTTTGAGTTTATAGTTTGTTAAACGTGCAACAAATTTTAAATATACAAGAAAGTTCCATTTAATTTGACGTTTAATAATAATAAATTCTGTAGAGAATTGTAATTTCAAATCTGGACGTCACCCTATACGCTCTTTGATTATAGACACATAGGTTTCAGTTACAGCTGTCTCTAATTTTAGATTGCCCCTAGTGGCACAGTGGCATGTCTGCGGACTTACAACGCTAGAAATCGGTTTTTGATACCCGTGGTGAGCAGAGCACAAATAGCTCATTGTGTAGCCTTGTGCTTAATTACATACAAAACTATTTTAGATTATTGACCAGAAGGAAGGCAGTAGCCGCTGGACCTTTGAATAAAATAACTGAATTGGTTGTTACTTTTATTTCGAACCCCACACCCTCGATACGCAACCCTAAGCATTAATTATTGAACAGTTCTACTTTTTTTTAATTTGTCATCTTTTGCCTACCTTTCTTCCGGCACGATTATTATGTAAGTTCATCAAACCCTCCGGGGTATTCCGGTCTTCTCCCGAGTCGACAAAGTCTTTGCTGAATTTTGACCCAAATCGGACGTCTTCTGAACAGCCGCCCCACTCCCATTGTCCCTTCGTATCACGTGACCTAATTTTCTGGTCACATCCACATTCCGACAGTTCGCCTTTGCTACAAGCCCTAGTGATGCTGTACGCTACTCCTGCTGCTGATATGGCATAAACGTAAGCTTTTTCACGACTTTCTGGAATACGAAAATAACGTAATTAGAAGATATTAAAATATTAACCTTCTTGGCATGAATTAAAAATAAGCATTCATTATATTCTAAATATTGAATTTAACTGTAGAGAGGTGGACCGGGAAATAATAAGTAATGAAAACCTTGTTTTAACGTAATGTTTCCCAATATTTCAAAGCTGCCATTGCAAAAACATTAACATAACAGAGAAAAGTAGCTACAGTGTTACTACGTTTGATAATACAAAGAAAGGGCTAACTTTGCTGTAGGCAGTGGATGTTCATCTGACCTTTTTGTTTGATGAAGGTCAGTTGTGCAAAATAAAGATCACATAATTAAATTTCCTGAAGGGCGGGTGAGGCCTAATGTTCAAAGTGTCCGGACTGTAAATTCGAAAGCTCGCGGTTCGTGTCTCGTTGCCACAAAAACGCACTCTGCATCTTTGGATCGTGGGTGCAGTACAATAATGATGGTCCCATCCCACTATTCGGACAGACGAGGGTAATCACAGCAGAGAGTTTACGAGATTATAGTTCTAAGATTCGGGGCTAGATTCTCGCGTTGGAGACAGCGCAGATAGTCCATTGTGTAGCTTTTATTTTCACTTTATTTTAGAACTATCTAACAAAACATCAGAATCCTGTTTAAATACCTCTAGTAGCATCTAAATGACGCTTTTTTTTCTTTTATCCCAGAAAATGTTTAATAATACAATAGTTTTTTCGATTATTCGAAAATCTTCCAACGTCCACTTCTATATCACGCTGAATATGAACGGAATTGATATGAGGAAAATGTATCCTACTCATTACTAATATTAATACGCACTATTCAGTAGACTCAAGACAAAATGTGAAAGCCTTTAACATGTACGCGTTTGAAGTCTTTGTAATTTCACGTTTCCATACATAAGAAGTAAAGTGGTTAGCGTCAAGATTTCTTTAACTTTAAGCATGCGCAAGAAGTGCAGAAAACTATTTATGACGTAACAGTGAGAAAATAGTGATTTTTTACCAAGCTGTCAATGTGTTAAGCTATAAAGTACCTTTCGAAAGTGCTAAACTTACCATAAAAAGCATACTTGTCATTACGACCTCGTATTTGGTCTTAGAAACATGGCGACATCCGGCTCAGCCGATAAAATATACCTATCTGTCTATTTACCTGTGTACGTCTCAATGAAACAACGATCTGTATTAACTTTCATATTGACATTTTTTGTTGTTGTGTTTATATATAACTTTCATATTGATATTAATTTTTGCTGTTGTGTTTATATAACTTTCATATTGACATTAGTTTTTGTTGTTGTGCTTATATACAACTTTCATATTGACATTAGTTTTTGTTGTTGTGTTTATATACAACTTTCATATTGACATTAGTTTTTGTTGTTGTGTTTATATACAACTTTCATATTGACATCAGTTTTTGTTGTTGTGTTTATATACAACTTTCATATTGACATTAGTTTTTGTTGTTGTGTTTATATATAACTTTCATATTGACATTAGTTTTTGTCGTTGTGTTTTTTTTAAATATCTGCCCAAGGTTTTCAGTGAACCTTCATGTTACCTCTATAATTTCCAGTGTATTTCTAGTTTATGCTATATTTTGCCACCGCTGTTGGTCTATATTTTATAAATGAAGTGAACGCAACTAATCTGTAAACAACTATGTATTATTGTATCTACCTTTATCAAATTATATGCCTTCGTGAGTGCTATATCCAACGAAAACTCTTTCTTTTCCACCATCTTGGAGTCTTTTGCTTCTACTGGATGAAACAAAACCTCCTGGATAACTGGGTTATTCTTGAACTGGGTGAAACCTATCTGCCTCCGTTCTTCTGATTTTAAATATTTAATGTTTTATTAACTTGCTAGATAATAACAGTTTTATTGTACATTTAAATTCCAACAATTGTACAATGTATTAATTGGTTGAAAAATATATGTTTTTGTCTAGCCATCTTTTTTTTTATCCATCAGAGGTATTATAAATTTAATATTTCGTACATACATGTGTATTCAACCTATCCGTATCTGTGGAGTCTAGAAATTGAATGATTCACATGGGAGCTAGGGTTGAATGCACTCACAGAAGCTGCAGACGTCTTTACAACTCTCTTTCACAAATGATGGCTTTACTTAAATGCTCCAAGGGAAAGAAATGATACGCACATGTTGATGCGCAATTCCAATCTACGGACACCAGGAGGCGTCGAAAGAACAAGATAAAAGAGAGATGACGTTCACAAATAACATTAATTTTTGTCTTTGCATAATATATATCTGTTAGAATATGTATAAAAGACTAGAGATTGGTAATCGTATTCTCACGTGATTTATTCTGGGCAGTTAAATCATTGAACTAAAATCATAGATTCGAGATATTCTACTTACTTCAGACACGGGCCTCTGTATGAAAAAAAGTCCTTATACTTTCACAGAGTCCCAACCAAAAATGATACTATAAACAATCAACTCCCATCAATAAAATCTCATAATTACACAATATGAAACTGTAATAACATGTCAGTCAATCCCACTAACGAATCTTACACATTTTACTCTAGATTGTTACAATACCGTGCCCAGTGAGTACCATTAATTTACACCTTTTACATTACAGTAGAAATACTGTGGACACTCTACAATAGGGTCCCCTAATACCATGCTTCATTAATCACAGAGTCAAGTGGTACACTCTATAATAGAATCCCCTAGTACCAGGGCTCATTAATCACATTATCAAATATTACACTCTGCAATAGAATCCCCTAGGATCAGGGTTCATTAATCACGTTATCAAATATTACACTCTGCAATAGAATCCCCTAGGACCAGGGTTCATTAATCACATTATCAAATATTACACTCTGCAATAGAATCCCCTAGTACCATGCTAGATTAATCACACTATCAAATGCTACACTCTATAATAGAATCCCCTAGGACCAGGGTTCATTAATCACATTATCAAATATTACACTCTATAATAGAATCCCCTAGTACCATGCTAAATTAATCACAGTATCAAGTGGTACACTCTATAATAGAATCCCCTAGTACCATGCTAGATTAATCACAGTATCAAGTATTATACTCTACAATAGAATCCCCTAGTACCATGCTAGATTAATCACAGTATCAAGTGGTACATTCTACAATAGAATCCCCTAGTACCATGCTAGATTAATCACGGTATCAAGTGGTACACTCTATAATAGAATCCCCTAGGACCAGGGTTCATTAATCACATTATCAAATATTACACTCTACAATAGAATCCCCTAGTACCATGCTAGATTAATCACAGTATCAAATATTACGCTTTTTGTAGTAGAATCTCGTTATACCATTTCCGATCAGTCAAACCAATAAATCGACCTTTCGAAAAATGATCAAGATGAAATAAGTGGTTCAAGCTGATTTCACAGCTATATTAACTTCTATGAAAATAGCCAGTTGTGGCAATGACAGCACCCGGAGACTGGGTTGTATAAACCTCCTGTTTTCTCGTGTATAGAAGGTAAGTGAGTGTTAAAAGTAGAAATAGGTTCCCGCAGCGCGTGCACAAGCAAACGCAAGGACGCTAGTAACTTGTAGAAGTCTAATGCCCGAGCTCAATGAAAATGATCACAAAACTAAGGAGGCCAACATTCCACCACGCAGTCTCAACATGGCCAGTTTTGACACCAGAAAAAGTCCAACATTTTTTATTCGTAAATGTGTGTTGCCTGTTAAAAAAAGATTCTTTGTACCAAATTCCATGTAAATTGGTCTAAACAAGGCTAAGTAATTGACCAAAGCCTCTAAAATTATGGGTTTATTTAACCTTTTTACCCCTCTAAAATGACCAAATATAAGCATAACCCAAATTTGTGTATGTATATGCATGAGACCTATAAAAAAGCATCTTTGCACCAAATCTCATGTAAATTTACCTAAATACGAAGGAGTGATTGTCAAAAAAATCCTAAATTTATTATTTTTTGTGGCATCCTGACCTCCCTATAATTAGGCCAGTCCACCATCTTTTTATCAATATGTGAGACATGTAGAAAAATATCTTTGTACCAAATCACATGTAAATTGGACAAATTATGTCCGAGAAATTGACCCAAAACCCTAAAATTATTGTTACATCTCCGTTTGTTAATTAACTTTCCGTAACTTCGTTCCAACGAAACTTAAGCGACACAACTCCTTTCTTAATAAAACTAGTTTATTCTTTCCAAATATAACTTTACCGATACACTCAACTTCAACAATCGAGCTAAACAAACGCTGTAACGTCTCTCGTGCTCTCTGACTGCAGTTCAATTACTCAGTATCTACACACACATTACCTTCCCCTCGTTTATATACCAGCCTACCCTATATCTAGTAAGAACTAGAACATTCGCCAAAGTACATGATAGTTCTAGAAACGTTGCGTCACAGTAGTCATGTGACTCGATGACGCAACATTATGCTTTTTTGCGAGCTCTAGCCCCTCCCCCCCAAAAAAAGACTCAAAAATGAGCAAATCCAACTTTTTTTCTATGTCAATGTGTTGGACGCATGAAAATTTCTATTTGTGCCAATTTTCATTTTGATTGCTGTAAATATGACCGCACAGAAATCTAAAATATATATTTTGGTGTTGTTTGACCTTTGACTCCATAAAATCTTTACAAAGGACTATATAAAAAAAAAGGTGTCAGGGTGTATTGGATCAGAGTATGTATAACCCTACCTAGTTTCAAGTCAATCCGCTGAGAAGTAAAAGAATGGCTCTCGATTGGAAGGTGTTTGGAAGAAGAAGAAGAAACAATAGGAAAAACAATACGTGTATGTCTCTCTGCAGCGACATAATTACATACCAAGAAAATAAGATTTAAGGAACAAGAGGCATTGTGCTTGTGTCTTTGTTCGTTCTATATTTACCATACAGGTGATTCACAGGTGCTAAAAATCCTGTTAGTACCAAACGTATTGTGGATGTTAGAGCATCTT